GTGCTTTCTCATGGCGCGTAGCTCAGGTTGTAGGGCTGAGAGCTCAGACCTGGTTTTAACAGGAAAATGGATAAAAGCGTTTCATAATTAAAGAACAGAGGGAAGATTTCGACAGTCTAGGAGATAAACACTGCATATGGATCTTTCTAGGTTTTTTAAAAAAAATATAGCAATTCTTATTTTTATTTTCATTCCCATGGCAACACACTAAAGGAGTCTAGACAAGTCCCTGAATTTAAAATATAACCTTTTCTTAGCTGCTTCAAAGAATTTAACTCTTGCTGTACTGTAACACAATACTAATTCTTTTTACTACTGAAGTGTTTACTGCAGACGTTTTGAAGGATTTAGAAATGTCTAATTATGAAAACAAACATGGGAACTAACTGATTCCCAACACACAGATCACAGTTCATCTCTCTGCTGTTTCTTGGTCTTTTTCTCTCTTATACGCAAATTTGGTTAAAACTCCAGAGACAGCCCGCAGCTTCTAGTGTTCTAGAATGCAGTGCTTCTTTTGCAGGTGGTAACTGATGTTTACCTACAACATGAAGGGTACAGAACCTAGGCCAGGCGTGACTAAGGTCAAAAAAAACCTCAGACTCTTGGGTCTGAAAACTAGGGCCAAGAAATTCCTCGGGGTTATTCTATGTCAGTTGTTATGTGAAGGATTGTATACATCCATGCCCCCAAAATGTTTGCTCAGCAAATGTCAAATTTCAGTGTCTAAAAAACCCCCAAAAGTTAAAAACAAAAGATCATTGTCTTTACTCTTTTTTCCTTGGTTTGTTATTTTGAACACAGCACTAAGGAGATTTAAACAGGTTACTACAGCACACACACACACACACACACTCACACACACACATAAAAATCATATGAAACAGCAATAAGAAAAAAGTAGGAGAGTCTGGAACAGGCTGGGTGGCCATGAGACTCTTGCAGTCTGAGTTCTGTGAGGGGAGAGGGCAGGAAAGGGAAGGGGGCACAGGAAAATCTCAACTGTAAGGCAGATTCTAGGAAATTCCAGCAGCAAAGTCTCTGCTGGTCACTCTTCATTGTCAGCTAGACTATGTTTAGAATTACTTAGGAGCCACACCTTTGGGTGAACTTGTGTTTCCAAAGATGCTGAACTAAAGGGAGAAGACCCATCCTAGTTATGCATGGCACCATCACATGGGCTGGGACCCCAGAATGAATAAAAAGGCTTAAGGTGAAAAACGTGCAGGATCTGAAGAGAAACAAGGGGAGGGGATGGAGATGGGAACATGAGGGATAGGGTTGGTTGAGTTGGGGACCGGACGGGGTGGAGGGTAATGAAGAGATATCTTGATACGGGGGCCATTTTGGGGTTAGAGAGAAATGTAGTGCCAGAGAAACTCCCAGGAATCTACAAGTATGACCCCAGTTAATACTCCTAGCAATAGTGGCTCCCACAGCTAAGCACTGGCCAAGCTCCTGGAGTTCAGCTGAACCAAGAGTGAGGAGATTGTATGAGTAAGGGGTTCAAGACCTTGATGGGAGAACCCACTAAGACTACTGACCTGAGATAATGGGAGCTCGTGGACTCTGGATCAATAGTTAGGGAACCTGCATGGGACCTACCTAGGGCCTCTGCATGTGGGTCTGTTTGTGGTACCCCTAGCAGTGGGATCAGGACCTGTCCCTGGAACAGGAGTTGGATTTTCGGAACCTATTCCCCATGCAGGAATGCCTTGCCCAGCCTTGATGTAGGGGGAGGAGATTGGTCCTGCCTTGTCATGATATGACATGATTTTTGATTCCCATAGGAGGCCTGCCTCTTTCTGAAGCAGAGCGGGGAGGAGATGGGGGTAGTGATAAACAAGATATGGAGGAAAAACCTGAAGAGAGGAGGGAAGGGAAACTGTGGTTGGTATGTAAAATAAATTGTAAAAAAATCAATGAAAGAAAAAGCAAAAGCAAAAAAAAAAAAAATATGGCTTAAGGCCACTGAGCACCTGACTGAGCATGTGTGCGTGTGTGTGTATGCGTGCATGTGTCTGCATCCTGACTGTGTATGCAGTGTGACTAGCCACTTCACATACCTGCTGCCATACTTTTCTTCTATGAAGCATATACCCTCAAACTGTGAACCCCAACTAACCCTTTAACCCTAAACATGCTTTTTATTGTCTTCCAGTCCAGGAGCCCCACGTCTTGCAGAGTCACTAACTGAGAGCAGACAGGCTGGGCTTGCTATGCTGTGAAGACAGTGCAGGTCCACAGCATTGCTCCACTTGGCTCATCACATTTCAGCGGCGCGTGTATCACAGAGTGATATAGAAACCTGCCTTTTCACTGCTTTCTTATAGGAAAGTTTAAGCTTGTACCACCGCATGCCCCTTCTTCCTACCTTGCAGCTCAGCATACTAAGTGACTGTTCAAATCTTCTCACTTTTTCTTGGCATGTACTTAATTTATTTACTATTATTGGTGTGTGTGTGTGTGTGTATTGTAATCTTTCACATACATTCCCACCTTGGCACATATGAGAAAGTCAAAGGACAACTTTGGGCAGCTGGTTCTTTCCTTTTAACTTTTACGCTGGTCCCAGAGATTTAACTCACGTCTTTACATTTTCTCCGCAAAAGCTTTTACCCGCCATCCTGCCAGCCTCTCTTGGACTTTTTTCTTAATCAGTTTTCAAATGAATTCACTTTTATTCATCCCTACTACATCATGCCAGTCTCTGAAGGGTCTGACATGGACCGTTAGCATGGTGCTTTGACTGGTCTTGCTTCCTGTAATTTCGGACATCTCAAGGACTTACTCCACACTCCAGTGTCCTGTTTCTAAGGTCTCATTCACTCTCTTGGTTAGAGACTTTAGAGGGTTATCAATTACTTTCAGGACAAATTCAGAATTCCCTAATCAAGGCAGCAAATGTCACCCCTAGTGCTCACCACTCCATACCTGTCAGAATCTCTGGGCTTTCACTACTGCCTCAGAGCAGCATGGTCTTCCCCGTGTCTCCAGTTTTGGACAGCTTTCTTCTCTGAGGAATGGAAATTCATTACCCACTCATGCAAGAATGAAGAAATATTTGTTTATTGTTCCATTTACTTCAGAAACTTTTTACAGTTATAATGGAATGTAATTTACACAATAAATTTCACCCATTTCAAATGTTCAATTTACTAATTTTCATTTTGCTGAAAAGCTTCCATTAATTAATAGCTATTCTCTGTTCATTCACTCCTCCCCCCAGATTTTCACAACAATAAATACACTTTCTGTCTACATGGATTTGCATCTTTGATTGGCTCATATAAATCATGAAGCAAGTGACCTCTTGTTGCTTTTTCCCATTGGCATAATGTTTTTAAGGTTCATCTATTTTGTGGTACGTCAGTATTCTATGTTGTCATATCAGTATTCCATTTACTATAAAGCAGCACTCTGTTGAATAGACATACCACATTTGTTTATTCGTTCATCAATTGTTGCACAATGGACGGGTTCTTTCCAATTGGGGGTATTATGAATCTCCACGTTCCGGTTTCTGTGCAGACATATTTACATTTTCTTTTGTGCAACTTGGGTTGCTATATCACATGGTAACTCCATGAGTAACATTTTGTGGAACCATCATTGGTTCCTGTCATCCTTGTGCATGGGAAGTGATACCCCCTTGCTTTAAGTTGCATTTCTCTGATAACTTAGTAGTATTTATAAAATAAAACTCAGCATGGTGCCATAGGATAAATTTTTAGTCTCCACACTCAAAGACTATGAGATCAAGACCATCCTGGTCTTGTGAGAATCTGCTTAAAAGTAAATAGACAAACAAACAATAAAGATACCACCTCTTCTCTTGCTCTGTCTTTGATTCTACCTGTTCTTTCCCTTTTCATATTTCCAATATTGTTCCATACATATGAATGTTACTCCATATATTGCATAGTTGGTCACCATTTATTGGTTTGAGCTGTATGTTTGTATGTGCATGCACATGCCTGTGCATGAGCATGAAAGTGTATATATGGGTGCTAATGTAAGTCAGAGGTCAACTTTATATGTTGTCGTTTTGAAATTTCTCTCTATTTTCTTTGAGAAATGTTCTCACATTGAAGCCAGACCTTATTCATTCATGCATACTGACTGCCTAGTAATGTACCAGGTATCCTTTTGCCTTTGCCTCCCCAGCACTGGGATTTCAGACATACATTATATGTGGGTTCTAGACATCCTAACTTGACATCCTCAAGCTTTGTGGCAAGAGCTTTAATGACTGAACCATATCCCCTACATTATAAGTCAAACTTTTGAGGGTGGAGTCGACAATGTGTTTATTCTTGTCTTTTATTTAGCTTTCTTATCTCTGATAATAGACTACTTCCCAACTGAATGGAGTATACTTTTATTTTATCTTTTGTTCCTTTTGGTAGGAAGTTTCCTCATCACAAATGGGATTTGAGTATAGAGATATACATCTATGGGGCAGGTATAGACTGCATACACATACACACTGTATACACCATATCATATATACACTAATGCTTGTGTGTATGTGAATAGAGAGAGAGGTTACTAAAAGTACTGTGTTTTCTTATTCTGAAGAAAAATTAGTTTGGAGGGCAAAAAGCAAAGACAAATCTATTAAAATTCATAAAAATGGTTCTGAGAGAAAGGACAGAAAATGATGTGCCTTTCCCCTCTATGTTTCTTCTCTTCTGCCTCCCTTTCTTCAGAAACATGTCTTGACTTCTTGTTCTTTGCTGGGTATGGTTTAAAGCAATGTGGATAACAAAGAGAGGCAAAAGTGAAGTAGGTAAGAGCTCAGCACAACTGAAAACAGGAGTTGGGAAGGAGAGAGAAGAGTGGAGTAGAGAAGACAAGAGAAGTGCAGGACAATGCCACAGCCAGATGGACCCACTGGAAGGTCAACCAGAGGGCCATTCTGCTGTATGGAGGGGTGAAGTGGTTGTTATTTTAATTGAACTATGTTATAATAATAAGCATTGAGGATACACAGTGCATTATGCTGTTTTAGTGTTTAATTGGGAAGTTGTTGTTTTCATATTGAGGCATACTTTACATAAAATGAAATTCACCCTTTCTGTGGAGTTATGAGACATTTTAAATGTAATTATCACTAGAGCCAAGATTCATAGCTCTGTCATTGTTCTCCCCAATAGCTTCTGCTCTTCCTGGTACCTGTTTTTCTTACATGGTCTGTTCCTGACCATTACTGATTTGTTATATTTTACCAAGAATCACAAGGTGTCTGTGGCCTGGTCTCATTTACTCAGGGTGATATTTTGAGAGGAAACATTTTGTGCTACAAGTCAACAGTTCCTTCCTTTTTATGCTGTTCAGATGTACTAGAGCTTGTTTACCAACCTATCAGTGGGAGGACACTGCCATTTTGGAAATCCAGAATAACCATTGTTGTGCCTTGATTGAATATGTCTTCCACAGGCTCAGATATTTGAATAGTTGGCCCCCAGATGCCTGGCACTGTTTTTGGCACGTTTAGGTGGCCTCACTGGAGGAAGTATGCAGTTGTAGTGGGCTTTCAGAAGTACAGGCCTCATCCAAAGAGAGCCCCAGTTTGCTCTCTTTGATTCCTGCTTGCAGTTAGATATGTGAGCCATCACGTCCCAGCAGCTAGCTCCAGCTGCCATGTCTGCCACCTGCTGCCATGCTGTCCCACCATCACAAACTCTCACCTTTTGGCACTATGCACCAAAATAAACCCTTTCTTTTGTGAATTGGTCCTGGCATTTTATCACATGGTAGGAAAGAAACTAATATGTCCATTAATAGATTTCTATGTGAACATGGTTATACTTTCTCATCCATAAGTATTTTGGAACGAGGTTTTGAGTCTCATCATAATATAATTATAGAAAATATCTGAATGAGTTTTTTTCCTAAGGGGCATTACCAACTTGATTCCTATTAGCAATGAAGGGGATGTCCAGGGCTCCACCCTGAAGGCTTCAGAGAGCAGCAATGCTTGCTGTCTTCCTGGCCACTCTTAGGAAGGGCTGCACTGCTGCCAGCTCTGCTTCCTTAAATTTTCAGTGAATGATAACATTCCTGCGTATCCCATGTGCTGGTGGCTATGGGAAAAGACAAGGAATATGAAAATGCCAGGAAGCACAACTGGATCCTCTGTTGTGGGGGACCTTTCACTCATTCCCAGCCACTCAGACCTGAAATAATCACAAAGAAAGTATGTTATTTGCAATACTGTTTGGCCAATAGCTTAATCATATTTCTGGCTTACTCTTGTATCTTAAATTAACCCATTTCTATTAATCTGTGTATCACCATGTGGCTGTGGCTTACTGGCAAGATTCTGGTATGTCTGTCCCTGGCAGCAGCTACCATGGCATCTCTCTAACTCCGCCTTCTTTTTCCCAGCATTCAGTTTAGTTTTCCCCACCTAGCTCTGTTCTGCCTTGCTGAAGCAGTTTCTTTATTAATCAATGGTAATCACGACATACAGAGGGGGAATCCCACATCAGTCCTTCATCTTTCTATGTATGCCCACGTGGCAGCTGGGCAGGGCTGGGAGGAGTATGGAGACCCACACACTCCAGATGGGCTGATAAAATAATAAACTGTGGCTCAGATTTGAATATGGCAGAGACAAGATCTGGATGAAGGACAATGAGACTAAGTAGACTATGCAGGAGTGGGGTGCCCTACCCTGGGTACAGAGGATCAAACTCTTGAATATTGATGTGGAAGATAGTCCAGAGCTAGACACATGACTTTGGGGTGAGGGTGTGAGGGTGACTTTAATTACACATATACAAAAAGCTATGCAATCGCAGAAAATTTCTGTACAATTTCACTCCTACAATGATCCCAAACCCAGTTGAATGAATAAACACATGACTGAAGGGGCCTCAGCTATCAGCAGCATTTTCACAGAACTTCAATCTAATTAGGACTTCAGGGATTTGAAACTCCTCAGGAATGTAAATATGATCTTGTGATTGCAGTGAGCATCTTGGTGTCTTAACTGATGGCATCAGCTTTAGTGTTGAAGGCATGCTAATTGATAGAGCAGATAAAGTAATTCCAAGGTTTTCAAGTAGCATCTTTCAACCCTGGCTGCATATGCCAATCACCTGGGAATATTTGAAAAGATCCTTAGGTCTGTACTCCACCCTAGAAATATTGGCCTGCCTGGTCCAGGATGTTGGGATTTTTTTTTAAAGACCTTCCCCAGATTTTGTGAGTATACACCAGGATAATTTTTTGAACTTTGGTTTTGGCGCTGAGGGTTGAATCCAGGACCTCTTGTGTGTTAAGCATCTGTTATATCACCAGGCTATGACTCTTTCTCCCTAAATCCAATATTTTATCATATAAAATTACAATAAACATAGTGTAATTGTTCCATAGTTGTTTTAGGTGTAGAATGCTGAGTTCATTGATATTAACTATGCTTACGTAATTGATTATTATGAATTGTTTCATACCTGTCACAACTATCCATCTATATCAGTCACTTTCTGTTGCTGCGGTTAAACATCATGACCAAAAGGGACTTACAGAAGAGAAAACTTCCTGAAATTATGTATGGTTCCAGAAGGAGAGTCCTAATGGCAGGGAGGCATGGTAACAGGCAGCCAGAGCATGAGGCTCAGGGAGCACATCTTCAGTCGCAAACACGAAGCAGAGCATGAACCAGACATGGGGCAAGGCTAGATGAACTCATAACCTGCTGCCAATTCTGTGCTTCCTCCAGCAAGGCTGCACTGCCTTCCCAACAGGACTCTCCTCTGGGGATCAGGTGTTCAAACACATGAGCCTGTGGGGAGTATTCTCATTCAAACCAATTTGCCTGGATTTGGTGTCTAAAGCAGAGTTTCTATTGTTTGCATATGTTTTGTATATTCACCGTTCTTCTATGGGTCAACATCTGGGTTCCTTATATCTGGTGTCTATTCTGAATAAAAACTCTTATGAGCACTGGTCTACAAGCACTTTTGCAAGCCTCTACTTTCATTATTTTTGGTGTGTGTATCTAAAGAAATTGCTAGATTGTGCGATAATTCTATGTTCAATTTTTTTCTATTTTACCTTTTAATTAGTGGAAACATTTTGACAATTTCATACTTTTGCACAACACATTGGGATCACATTCACTACACTGCCTTCTCTTATTCTCCCCATGCCAGTGTTTTGAGGAAATGCCATACTTCTGCCTAGAGACAGCCTGTCTCAGCCTCGTTTCTGTTCCAACAAAATGCCATGACCAAAATCAACTGAAGAGAAAAAAGCTTATTAAGACAGGAACTCATCACATCACAGAATCAAAAGCAAAGCCAGTATAATCATCTTTGCTTGCTTGCTGCGTACGTATCTCAGCTGGATTTCTTTACTATTATACAGTTCTGGGTCTAGCCCACATAATAAACAATTATGCCCACATTCAGAATATGTCTTCCTCTTACTTCAGTGAATACTCAAGACAATTTCCCAACAGACATGTCTATAGGCCAATTTGATCAAGACAATCCTTGATTGAGACCTTGGTCTGGGACGATTCTAGGTACTGCTAACTTGACAGTTGAAACTAAGCAGCATGTATTAATCAGTTTTTGTTTTCTGTTATTTATTTTTATAGCAATCACTCCAAGGGGCCTGAGGTGTTATTTCACTATGGTTTTGATTTTTATTACCTCAGTTAGTAGTGATGTTAAGTTTTAATTCATGGGCTTATTGGCATCTATTTATCTTCTTTGGAGAGATACTTATTCAAGTGATTTGCCTATATTCTAATGAGGTTGTTTGTTTTTGAATGTGAATATTGTAAATGCTTCTTTGAAGCTATAATTCTCAGTTTTTGACATCAATGCTGGGCTGCAGTTTGATGTTGTTCCATGGCTCTCTGTAAGTATAACATTGGCTTTTTGGCTATGCTCAGGGCTCATTTAGGATCTGAATTTATCTGTTAAGTGACTGGGTGAGAAAGCTCGTGGTGGCCTCACCCACACCTGTGCTGGAATGGGGGTTGGGAAGCTTGATGGGTATGTCTGGAAGACTGGGGGCATGCTCTACACATGTGATCATTCCCCATTATGTGTTCTAACTATGATTCCACATGGCCGTTGACTTTCAAGAGACCAGCTGTGAAAGCATGGAAGTTTTTCAAGATCTAGATCTAAAATTCAAGGAGTATTAAAGTTAAAGAGGTCACAGAGTCAGGCCCATTTCAAGTGGAAGGGAAATAAACTCCCTCTTCTTCATCTTGTTTCTTTTTAAATACTTTCAAAATGTAAAGACTTTAATGTAGAGAGCTACGTGAAGCCATACCTGATAATCAGCTCCTAATTATGGCTAAGACCTGACTTATGCTGTGATCATGCAATGATTGTCAACTGCTTGCATATGCATGGACCTATGGGCAGTGCCCACCTGGCAATCCGGGGTTGGCGGCCCATGCCTTTTTAAGGGCTGGGAGAGGTTTGCCTGGGGAGAGAGGGGAGGAGAGAGGGAAAGAGAAAGAGAAAGAAAAAGAGAAAGAAAAAGAGAAAGAGAAAGAGAAGGAGAAGGAGAAGGAGAAGGAGAAGGAGAAGGAGAAAGATTGCTGTGAATAAAGTCCTGAATAAACTGCTGCAAGAAGAGCTTCGGGTGTTGCGTCATTCTTACAGGTCGAGGCTGAATGCAACAAGTGGTGGCCTCATACGGGGAACCTCCAAACCTCTCTCCATGGAGCCCAGAACTTGCTGCAGTCAGGGGGTGCACCAGTAAATCCTCAGGTAAAGGCTGGGGATCCGCGACAAAAAGCGGGTTTTCCGCTCTCACCAGTAGAAGAAGGGAGAGCGGGCTAATAGGGCTGCGACTAAAGTGGACGGGTCAAAGTGAAACTAAAAGAAAGAATGGGATTTTAGAATGGGTGCTCCAACATCACACCTGATTTTTCTGGCTCTTAACGAGCTGTTACAGAGCACATTGGAGAGGTTTTTGGCTGAATGTGACACAATTGCCTCTTGGTTTGCCGTCTCTGGCAATCTTAATGTGTCATCCTGGGACAAGCTTGGTAGAGATCTGGAACAAGGTATGCTAAGGAAGGGAGTTATACTCATGTGGTTTGAATTACAGAGACCTCCTGAGTTTGCAGCGGAGTGTGAGCAGCTGCGGCCCCAAGGCCAAGGAGCTCCAAGCGGCTCCAGGTGACAAGTGCTGAGGAGCTGTAAAGCACGCAAACACCTGGGACCTGCCTCAGGGTGTAGAAGCAAAGCACAAGAGATCTTTGGCCTCAACCTCTGTCATAGCCCAGGGCAACCTGCAGGATGGGTTCTGACAGATCGGGCCAGGCCTCCACCTTCCAGATCGGTGTGGAGGAGCCTCTGCCTCTCCCCTGTTGCTGCCACCTGAGTCCGAGCTTGGCTAGAAAATGGCAGTAAATTGCAGTAAAAACCCATAAGAATGCAATGTCCCCATTCAGCAGGAAGTTGCCAGACAGATTGACAACACCCAAATTCCCTATAAGATAATTTAAGCGGGGCCCTTTCAGAGCACAAGCAGGATCAGCTGGGCTGCTAGGGAAGCCAAAGAGGTGTACGAGGGAGAAGGTGTCTTCCATGCACTCAACTGACAAGAATGAATGTGCCACGGGGGTATGGCAGCTGGGGTATGTTATTTAGGGGACTGCTGAAGGAGCAGTGGTTTCTGACTGCTCCTGGGGTCATGGCAAAGCCACTATCCAGGTAAAAGAGAAGCATGTCTACACCCTAGTCTGTCAGAACTGGAGGAATCTGACATTTCTATCCATCCAGGGCTGTGTGTGACCAGCATTCAATATGACTCATGCAGCTAATCTGTCTAGAGAATTGTCTAGCTGTCTTTTAAGTAATTGGTCTGGTGAATTCAAACAACAAGTGGAAAAGCTGCGAGTGACGATTGCTACTGCAAATTCCACATGCATGGATACCAGCCTGGCCGAAGGACTATCCTCCTGGATCATCTATAACCATGGATCATCTGAGGGAGTGGGCAGGAGTAGGAGCCCTGGCAGGCTTAATGGTGCTTGCCTCCCTGGTATGCCTGTGGTGCATTTGTGACATAAGGGTTTCACAGCATCGCAGTGCAGTTATGATCATTCAGGCCTTCACGGTCATTGAAGCAGGACAGTCCCCTCAAGCTTGGTTATCTATATTTGAGCACAGGATGTGAGGCTTGAGCACTGCAC